ATATAATATCAGATGCTTAATTTTTACCTAGCTTTCCTTATTCCATTATCCTGTTTTATTTTATTTAATTTTGTCTTATTCTTTTCCATGATTCTTAGTACTTCCTATCTCTACACAAGCTCCGTAGTGAAAAGCACATGGGTTTTATTGACTTACTCTTTTGAAAAGATTTACTTATTTATTTTAGAGACAGCGAGCATGAACATGCACATGCATGCGCGCACAGTTGCAAGCAAGGGGAGCAGAATGAGACAGAGTAGACTCCCTGCTGAGCGGGGAGCCCTGTCCCACCACCCTGAGAGCACAACCTGAGCCAAAAGCAAGAGTGAGATGCTTAACTGACTGACCGACCCAGGCATTCCAAATACATGGATTTTACAATAAAAGAAGATCTAGAATTAAAATATTGTGCTACTTACTTGCTATGTGACCTTTGCTAAGTTCAATTCCCTGAGCCTTTAAAATGGGAACAATAACATATACCTTGCGAGATTAGTATTGAGTTACATATATAAATGTATGTGCCAGCTCCTACACATCAGGTACTTTATATCTATTATCTCTAACTCTTGAAGTAGTCACCAGCAAGATAAAGAGGAAGGCAAACGCAGCAGGTGATGAGAAAATCAAGGAAATAATATGAAATGGATGTGGTGTACATAATCACCAAACCTAGACCTGAACTTTGAGTTGGAGGAAGTTGAGAGTGGAGGGTATTGACAGGAAGTGTTCAAGCAAAGCAGAAAAGCCTGTGCAAAGGCCCTGAGGTCAGAGAGAACTTAGTTACTCAAGGAATTGAAAGAAGTAGAGAAATATAGGATCATGGAGAATAAAGGAGAGAGTGATAGCAGGTGAGGAAAAAATGGTTATTTTGGAAGGCCCTGTTGTCAGCCTAGCCAATCGCCTTGTCCTCATCTTTCTTGGTAAAAGAACCCCCAGGTGTATTGTTCAGATAGCACTTCATCTTTTGCTAGTGATTGGTTTAAGGATGGTCATGGGACTCAATATGGACCAATGAGATATAAGGGGAAATCTGCAAAAAAAAAGGTCTCCAGGTCAGGGCTCATTCCATTAAGCATCTGCCTTCAGCTCAGGTCCTGATCCCAGGGTCCTGAGATGGATTCCTGCCATCGTGCTCCCTGCTCAGTGGGAAACCAGCTTCTCCCTCTCCCTCTGCCTGCTGCTCTACCTGCTTGTGCTCTATCTCTCTCTGTCAAATAAATAAATAAAATCTTTTTTAAGAAGGGAAGATCTCTAGGAAACATTTGCCTCCCATAAAAAGATAGAAGGAGAAGCCCCATCTTTCCTTTCTGGTCTTGGAGATTGTTTTATATAGATGTGATTGTTGCAGCTGTTCTTGCCACAAAGGAAGACAGTGCTGACACATGGGATGGCAAGAGGCTAGACACTTGAGGATATCACTGAACTACTGAATCAACTCTGGACATGCTCACTTCTGGACTAATTCGCTTATTAGATAATAAATAACCTTTTTTTCAGATTTTGTTTATTTATTTGACAGAGAGCGAGCCAGAGAGCAGGAGAGCAGCAGAGCAAACAGGAGAAGCAGGGAGCCCAATGTGGGATTCAATCCCAAGACCTCAGGATCATGACTTTTTTTTTTCCAATGGCATTTTATTTTTTCTTTTCAACATCCTGTTCTGCAGCTTCCTTGGCCCTTTTTTCCCCGGATGCCAGAGAGCCAGACATCGGCACGGGTCATGCGGAGGCTGGTGAACACGCCTTGAAGTTCTTCTCCTCTGTGATGACTCTGGCCGTCTCCTTCTTATATGGGCATGACTGGTCCTGTCAGCTGTGTCGCCAGTTGAGCTGAACCAACTGAGCCACCCAGGTGCCCCGATAATAAATATCCTTATGATTAAGGCAGATTTAATTGAACTTCCCTATGACCGAAGGCATCCTAACTGATTATATTTATTGAAAGAGAAGGATCACACAAGACATTGTAGATCATATCAAAGATCTGGAATTTAATTCTAAGGGTTATGGGGATCCATTAAAAGCTTTAAGCATGGGGTGAATTTTGCTTTTCAAAAGATTTACAGTGTTGATAATAGATTGGACAAAAGCAAGAGTGGAAGCAAGTATAGCAGATAGAAACTATTACAAGTCACAGAAAGAATGTAATGATTTAAAATATGTGGTGACCATTGGAATAGAGAAAAATGAATCTATCCGAGAGTTACTGAAAGATACACTGGAGGCAGAATTGTGATTATGATTGTGATCAATTCAATGTGAATAAGGAAGGGGAGGAAATCAAGATGGCTTCCAGGCATCTGGATTGAGCCACCAGCTAGACCGTAGCGCCATTTACTAAGAGTAGGATAAACAACTGGAGGAAGTAGAACAGGTGGGAGATTACTATAACATTCAACTGTAATGTTGAAATGAAGGTGCCTGAAGCAACCAGGTGGTTATGTCAAGTAAGCAGTTGGGCATTTGAGTGGCCCAGAGTAGAGATAAAGACTTAGAAGTCTTTGGAATCAAGATGGTAACAGAATCCATATAAGTTTTGAGATTTTTAGGGAGGGAACAAGGAATGAGAAAATGTCCTAAGACAGAATCCTAGGACCTCCAGAACTTAGCTTCTCCGTAACGAAGAAGAGGCCAGTGAAGGAGACAGAGAAGAATTGCCAGAAAGAAAGAGGGAATGCCAAAGAATTTTTACAAGGAGGGAGTGCTCAATACCAACAAATGCAGTTGAGAGGTCAAGGAAGAAAAAGACTTAAAAAGATTCTATCAGATTTAGCCACATGAAGGCCACTGATAAACACTGGTGATGAAGCCAGATGGAAGTGGATTGGTCAATTCAGAACCCAGGTTGGACTGGGTAAAGAGAGCATAATTAAGAAACGGAGACATAGATGGCAGAGAAGCAGGTCAAGAAATCTGGCCTTTAAGAGGACATGGGCAGGAGCTGAGTTTGTTTGTTTTTTGTTTTCTTTTTTTAAGGATTTTATTTATTTATTTTCTAGAGCAAGAGACCGCATGTGAACGTGTGCACATGTGAGTGTGGGGGGAGGGGCAGAGGGAAAGAGAATCTTAAGCAGGCTCCATGCCCAGCATGAAGCCCAATGCAGGGCTTGGACTCATGAGCCTGAGATCATGACCTGAGCCAACACCAAGAGTTGGACGCTTGACCGACTGAGCCACCTAGGCTCCCCACCATCCCTATCTTTAAAAGAAAAACAGGGGCATCTCCGTCCCCCACTCACACATGCACTTTCCTTCTCTCTCAAATAAGTAAATAAAATCTTTAAAGATAGAGATGGCTATCTTTCCTTCACCTCTATATCCAATTCATTTGCAAAAGCCCCTTTGGGTCTTTCCCTTAAATGTATCCCAAATCTGTCCATCTCACCTTCCACCCAGATAACTCCCTGGTTTGAGCCATCATCCTCCTTTGGGCTCAGTCCTCTCCAAGTGGTTTCTCTGCTTCCATTCCTCTTTTGTTCTTGTCTTTTTGAAACCAGTGAACAGTCATAATACATGAAATCATGGTTTTGAAGTAAAATCCAAACTGGCCTATGAGATCAAATAGAATCAGGCCCTTCTCCTATTTAAGGCACCCTGTGCTACCCTGCTGGTTCCCCTTGTTCTGTCTCCAAAAAGAGTCTCTTTCTGTTCTTTGTTCCTTGCACACTCACTGGTCCCAGTGCTTAGCAAGCTTTTTCCTGCATCTTTGAATGGCTGACTCCCTTTCATTATTTATGACTGCTCAGATGTTGCCTCATCCCAAAAGTCTTCTCAGACCCTCTTACCCTCCCCACTCCTATCGTCAGTCCCTGTCTTGCCTTTTCCATGGTTCTTATCAACTGAAATGATCTTGCTCATTTACTCGTTGATTATTTACATCTTCTAATTAAAAGCAAAGTCTGGGGGAAACTGGGTTAAGTTTATGGGATTATTATGTATTACATGTATTGTTGTGTGATGGGTTGTGTGGATCATATATTACTAGGTGTTACTTATAAATAAATGATAAGCATGTTGGGGCAGCCCTGGTCGCTCAGCGGTTTAGCGCCGCCTTCAGCCCAGGGCCTGTTCCTGGAGACCCGGGATCGAGTCCCACGTCGGGCTCCCTGCATGGAGCCTGCTTCTCCCTCTGCCTGTGTCTCTGCCTCTCTCTCTCTCTCTCTCTCTCTCTCTCTCTCTGTGTGTGTGTGTGTGTGCGTGTCTTATGAATAAATGAATGAAATCTTAAAAAAAAGATATTAAGAAAATGATAAGCATGTGAATCTGTAATTATCTCAACAAAAGTCAACATTTTTGGTTTTGTTTTTTTAAAGTAAGTTCTGTGGGAACGGGGATTTTGTCTCCTGGTCAGAGTTGTGTTCCCATCACCGGAACAAAGTCTGCTATGCAGTGGGCACTAAAGAAGTCTTATTAAATGTGTGGCTTTTTTTTTTTTAAATAAGATTTTATTTATTATTTGAGAGAGAGAGTGCACAAGCAGAGGGGAAAGGGCAGAGGAGGCAGAGAGAGAAGCAGCAGGGAGTCCGCGGTGGGGCTTGATCCCAGGACCCTGAGATCATGGCCAAGCAGAAGGCAGATGCTTAACCGACTGGGCCTCCCAGGCGCCCAGGTATGACTCATTAAATGATGTATTTGGTCACGTCTAAAAGAGGGAGGGGCAGGGAGTAGGGGCAACAGTGGGACACCCTGCGCCCAGGAAACTGAGGTAGTAGAATTTGTAGCACTAGAACCCTTATCATCGTGAGTTGGGATTCGAACCCGGGTCTCAGGACCTTCTGCGCGCCGCGAGCGACCTCTCCACCCGAGGGCCGCCGACTGCTGCCCGAGCGCAGGTGGGCGCGGTCTCGGGAGCCGCTCGGTCCCAGCCCGCGGCGCTGCCCGCTGGGGTCGCAGCGGCGCGGCGCGGCGCGGACGCGAGCATCACCGCCCGCTGGGCCTCTGCGTCCCGGCCAGCGTGGCCAGCCCCACCCTCTCTGGAGCTCGCCAGACCCGGGTAAGGACGGACGCGACAGCCCGACAGCCGCGCCGCCGCCGGCTCCGGGCTCTGCGGGGGAGGTTTCAGGTTTCAGTGCTCGCAGGAGCCCGGGCCGTGGCAGCGCGCCCCGTGCGGCCGCCCCCGCCTCCGCGTCTCGGCCGCGGCCGCGCGCTCGTCGGCCCTGGACGGAGGTTGGGCGCCGGGCCGCGGCCGCCGCCGGGCTGCTGTCGCCGGGCGCGCGGGGAGGCGGCGGTCGCCGCTGGGCCGGGACTTCCTTCCTCTGCCGCAGGACAGCAAAACAGCCCGGCCGCAGGCGCGGAGCTGCCGGCAGCTGTCTGGGCGGGAGGCGCCGCGATGGGCTCCGTGCTGAGCAGCGACAGCGCCAAAGCCGCCCCCGCCTCGGCCGCCTCCCGGGCCCTGGAGCGCAGGGGCGACCCCGAGCTGCCCGTCACGTCCTTCGACTGCTCCGTGTGCCTCGAGGTGCTGCACCAGCCGGTCCGGACCCGCTGTGGCCACGTGTGAGTGCGGGGGGAGCTCGGCTGGCGCGCCCGCTTCTGGGGAGGGCGAGGCCGGGGGAGCCCGCGCGTGGGAACGGAGCTCCTGCGGGGGTCACACCTGGACCCGGCGAGCCCGGGCCACGGCGAAGGCGACCCGTCGGACGGTGACCCAGGCATTCAGGAGGCGAAAACAGAAACGGGCGGGCGCCGCGGCGCCTCCCCGCCAGGCCCCGAGGCGCTGCTTGCCCGCGAAGCCCAGGTGCGGAGCCCCAGACCGGGTGCCCAGGCGCAGGAGCCGCCGGCGGCCGGGGTCGTCCGCTGGGGAGCGTGCCCTGGGCTGGACGGCCGGCACCCGCTCGGACACAGGGCAGTGGGCTTCTGCAGAGCAGTCACCCCGCCGAGCTCAATCGGTCGGGAGGCGCTTCCCCCCCCCCACCCCCGCCGCCCCGCAGGCCCGTTTTGTTTTGCTGGCTCTGCACGTGTTCCAGGACGCCCACTGGGGCAGCCTCTTGAGCAAACAAAGGTCTGTGCAAACGGTCCTTCCACCTCCACCTCCCCATCCTAATGCACACACTCAGGCCCTTCAAAGATCAGCTCAACAGGCCGAGTGACCTCGTAGCCCTCAGACTTTAAGTGCCTGTCCGGGTGGGGCCGGGACCTGAGAACCTTAGCACCAGGCCCTTGAGTGTAGCCCTTTAAGATCTAACCACAGAGTGACAGGAGGTTGCAGACTGCCTGCCTCACGCGGCGCTTCCCTAAAATCGATGGAAAGTGGAGATAAAGATTAGTCGTTTCTAAAAAGAGTTTGAAAACAAAATCCCTATATAAAATTGGCCCGTCCTTAATGCGTGCTGGAGCCACCAGTGATGGGAGTTGGACCTGTGGTTTCGTGTTCTGTTTCCGCAGAAGCTTGCTTTCCGCGGCTGCCTGGGCGTGTGAGTGAGTGTGTGCCTGTTGGGGGTGGGTGGGGTGCGGGGAGTCGCACAGAGTGAGAACGGAAGCCCACTTAATAATGTCTTCTTTGGCTGACTAGAGTTTGATGAAGCGCCAGGGCAATGCCGCAATGGCTAGTAAGTGCTTCTGGCTCATCAAGGGGGGGAAAAAAACCATATTATAAATGCAAGTGCACAAAATGTTTTCAAAAAGACTTAGATGGTTCTTGACACCTATAGACTAGTGACTGAGAAGCACCATGAAAACCTCGGTGGTGAGCCAAGAAGGAAAAATGCAGCCCACATAGTGTTTAAATAGAGTGCCCTGGGCATTATTTTGCGGCTATGTTTTCAAGGCCTGTTGTTTCAGCGTCGTACTTTAAACTCAAGCCTAATTGGCCTCCTGACTGATTACTGATGTTGTTTCCCAGCTGTCCAGATGTAGCTCATGATATGAAATCCCAAGGCCAAGATGGAAGCCGAGATAGCAATGTGTAACAGTATAATATATTGATTAGTTCGGACAGTAATCATCTCCGGGTAGCTATGGGTAAATTTAGGCCGTGCATTAAAACTTTAAAGTTGCTCCAGGAATGCGCAGTGGGCATCAAGTCTTGAAAGTTCCTTCAGTAGAACTGAGTTGGATGGCTTTGATACTGGAGGTTGTTATCTGATTGAGGATTGTTTTCCCTGGTTTGGATTTTTATTTTTTTATTTATTTATTTTTTTAAAGATTTTTATTTATTTATTCATGATAGTTACACACACAGAGAGAGAGAGGCAGAGACACAGGCAGAGGGAGAAGCAGGCTCCATGCACTGTGAGCCCGACGTGGGACTCGATCCCGGGTCTCCAGGATCGCGCCCTGGGCCAAAGGCACGCGCCAAACCGCTGCGCCACCCAGGGATCCCCCCTGGTTTGGATTTTTAAAAAATATTTTATTTATTTATTCACGAGAGACACAGAGAGAGGCAGAGGGAGAAGCAGGCTCCATGCAAGGAGCCCGATGTGGGACTCGATGTGGGACTCGATCCCAGACTCCAGGATCACGCCCTGGGCCCAAGGCAGGTGCTAAACCACTGAGCCACCCAGGGTTCCCACCTGGTTTGCATTTTGAATGCCATAACTTACTGTTTGTAGTGTTTTTGCTTCTGCTAAAGGATAATTTAAATGTGTAAAAAGTTAAATCTTTTGTTTAATCTTTTTCTTTGTTAGAGTTTGAATAGGAAACCAGCAACTGGAAAAAATAGTCATGAAGTAGCACAAGGGCTGGATGAATTGCCTTCCCTCACTTTACTGTTCTTTGTTTTGACAAATCTATGTCCATTGTTCTGGCTGTGGGCAGAATTTCCATATTCCTCCTTTTGGCAAATTTACTTGGGCCCCTTCCACTTTATAAATGTTAACTAGAGTTCCTTCTCCACTGGGAATGGTGAGTGCTGTTAACACCATTTGTGTACTTCCTAAATAAATTACTCTCTTCCATTGACCCTAAATTGGAAAATGGAGAAATGCAAATGAAATCTCTGTATGTTATCTCCTATTGAAGCTAATTTCCAAACTTGTTGAACTCGTTTGTTTATGCTGATTTCTGCTCATAAACCTATTTCGAGTCAATCAAGTACTTAATAATGACAAAAATACATTGAATGAGTATGTATATAGCACTCTATAAATTGTAGAAACAGTGGGACTGAGAGAGAGCAGTATTTGAAATTCAGCCCTGCCACTGACCGGTTGTGTGACCACCATGGGGCTATCTCTTTGACTGCTTCTTCATTTGTACAATAGGGTGAATAATGGAATTTTTATGAGTATTTTAAAAATGTAAAAGTGGCCCATCATAAAGCCTCAACACTTAATTTCTATCTCCCTTAAAGACATTCCACAAAGCAAAAACCCAGGAATGGGTATTATTTCTTATCTGTATTTCTTTTGGAATAAAACTGGGCCACAAAAGATAGATCTATGACATTTCTAAGATGTCGCAGATTATCTTCCTTTTGGCTGAGTTCTTTTTCCTTTGGTGGCCTTTAATTTAAGATATTCTATTTTAATGTGCTGTCATTTCAAATTGACATTGCTCATACGTCTATATCAGTTGTTAAAACAGCTTTTGGGGAAAGGCTTCCTACCTCTGCCTTATCTTCTGTTATGGGGGTGGGGAGTGGATAAGTTGAAGCTGTGTGAATGAAACTGAAAGGGAATCAGAATCTGATTTATATTTAAAATAAGTATTTATAATGAAATTTGTTGACCAGTTGAGTATGACAGATAAAGGGGGGAGAAAGGGGTGGAAGGCAACTCCCTAACAGGTGACAGAGATAAAGGGGGGCAGAGTTCAGCTCCAGAGGTAATGTAGTGAACTTGTAATGGGGCTTGTCAAGTATACAGTAGTCTGATAGGGAGATATCCAAAGGGAAATATCCCAAAGGTACTGGGAGAACGGGTTTGGGGAAAGGTCAGAGCCAGAGCTAAGGGAGTTATCTAAAAGAATCAAGAGGTGCAGAATAGATCTAACAGAACTAGTAGGTACAGACTGGAGCATGCTAGAAGGCACAAAGAGCTACATCTTCATCGAACTGAGTTGGGTTAAATAGCTCTAAATCACAGAATTTGCCTAATTTTGAAAATGGAACTGTTGAGGATAATTCTGAAGTGCTTTCAGGTAAGTGGATTAAAACTTTCCATTTGTGGTCAAGTATGAATGGTACAGCCTGCATCAAATTAGTGGTTCTCTGAGAGTTTCCTGATGAGTTTTAAACTGACCCAGAAATATACATCAGTGCTTTTACTCTTTTTTTTTTTTAACATTTAATATATTTTATTTTTTATTTAAAAATTTTTATTAAGGTATAATTGACATATGTTAGTTTCAGGTGTTCAACATAATGATTCAATCTTTATATAAATTGGAAAACGAACACCATGAAGAGTCTAGTTAACATCTGTCAGCATACATAGTTACACAGTTTTTTCTTATATTGAGAACTTTTTAAGATCTATTGTTTTGGGGCACCTGGGTGGCTCAGTTGGTTAAGCATCTGCCTTTGGCTCAGGTCATGGTCCTGGGATCCTGGGATCAAGCCCTGCATCTGGCTCCTTGCTCAACAGTGCCTACTTCTCCCTCTCCCTCTGCCTGCCACTCCCCCTGCTTGTGCTCTCTCTTTATCAAAAAGAAATAAAATCTTGGAAAAACAAAAAGATCTATTGTCTTAGCAACTTTCAAATATATACTACAGTACTATACATATAGTGTTAACTGTAGCCACCATGTTGTACATAGAGCCTTGTGATTTATTTATTTTTAACTGGAAGTTCATACCTTTTGACCCCCTTTCAGCCATTTTGCTGCCCATTCATTCTTAACAGAAGTTGTGCAATCCCAAAGAATTCTTCTTTAACATAAGATTAAAGCTATTTGCCTTATTGATTATTACAGATATTTATTATCTCCTTGTATATTATCTACTAGTGAGGGTTCTCCTGAGAAACAACCAATAGTGTGTGTGTGTGTGTGTGTGTGTGTGTGTAAAAAGACTGATTTTAAGGAATTTCTTCACATCATTGAGGATAATCGCTTTCTTAAAGTCAACTGATTATAGATGTTAACTACTTCTGCAAAATACCTGCACAGCAACACCTAGGTAAGTGTTTGATTAGATAACTGAGTACTATAGCCTATCCAAGTCGACACATAAAACTAACCATCACATCTATCAACTGAGTTTTTAAGGGTTATTAAAATCTGGTATCAAAAACAAAAATTAGATCATTGTCAGGCTTTACTATAGACGGTTCAGCATTCTACTAAAAAATCTGGCTGTCAGGCAACCATGTACACACCTACATGCTGCTCAAGCAGACAGTGGGAATCCACACAGTTTTCTTTAAAATAAAATCATTGTTCATTTTCTTCATCATGTTCATTTTGGTTTATTATGAGTTGTTTGGTTAGATCTGCTTTTGCATGGAATACTTTCATTTATTGATCAAGCAAATATCCCCTGTCCTGTGCTGAGCACATAGACACAGATATCTATCCTCCTGGAGCTTGCATTCTCTCTGGCAGGTGCACAATAAACAAAA